TCATAAGTTCGTCGTTTAGCACTGTATTTATCGTTCAGTTCCTTCAGTAGTACAACATATTAATGAAACAACAGCCATTTTCGGATGCTCATTGGTGATTCGTTGCGTTTAAAATACTTAACGGCTTATACGATTGACTAATGGTAATTTTAATGATGATCACTATTGATAATCACTATTAACGGTAATCACTATCAATGGCTTAATGCGTTAACACAACAATCAACGTTGTGAATAACGATTGAAATGCTAAAGCCCACTAATGGATATATTCAAACGATGCGTCTAGCAGAAATTAAAACGAACCAGGAATTCACTATTCAATTGACTGCAACTATCATTTAGCTCGGTATTGACGTTTTTCTTCTCATCGATTCGATCACTCAGTTCTTTGATCATTCGCTTCAATTCGTCCACATTTTCACTCGACGGCTTTGCAGTTTTCGGTCTTTCGTACTGATCCGAAGCCGTATTCAGTTCAGTTATCGTACAACCACTCGATTCCTGCAGCTCATTTATTCATTAATGCACTTTCTCAGCTTTCGAATTTATATGTCACCCACAAGCTCATATGGAATTAGTGCATTTGTAAGTAATCACTATTATTATGATCAACTGCTCTCTCGTCCCGGCAATCTTGCTCACTCAGTCATGCTAGTCTCATTTTCGATCAGCTCTGAGCCATTTTTCTGAGTGAGTTTTAATTGTTACCTATGCTCCTCTTTTCCTACAGGCAAATAAGCATTAAATTTATGGTGCATAATTATGCATCAAAAACTCAAAAAACTGCAGTGCTTTAATCTCGATTCATCTCCGTTCACACGAAATTCACAGCAGTAATCTCGGTATTAAAATGCATGCCTCAATAAGCACTTACAATGCGTTCCTTCAACGAGTTCCATTTTACTTTCAATATGTCTTGTGTTCTCGCCAGAATCGTATTCTCTCCTTTCAAATCGTCGATTTCAGCACGTTTCTTCTTATACGATGTCGTCTTGCTTCGTAATTTATTCACATAGTTTTTGAACTGCAATTTTAATAATCAAACATTCATTCACTTCATTCAATTTCAAATGACACAAAAATAAAACATAATTTCATATATTTTCTTCTATATTCTCATCAAGTTTTATTTGTCTGTTTTCAGATTTTATTCACACATTATTTATCTTTCAGTGCGATTAAGATATGAGCGATTTCTTTCTCCAACGAATCTCATCACAGATCACTGAATGAGATGGAAC